GCCCGGACGGCGTCCGCTTGCAAGTATGAAATAAAGTGGTATAGTTTCGACTCTCGAGTTTAATGGATGTCCTGAAGGACGAAGTAGGCTTCTTTGGAATTGTATTCCTTCTCTTCTTCCACTTTGTTTTTTTTTTCTTAAGAAGAAAATAAAGTGGTTGGGTCACTAACTTGGGTGTAACTTAGGTCACTGTAGAAAGCAAGCGAAGCGGAAAAAAAGAAAATTAAAGAAATAGAAGTAAGCTGTTCTCTGATGAAAAGAGAATGTTTGGTTGTGTCACTCTGTGTGTGTGTGTTTGTGTGTGTGTGTGTGTGTGCATTTGCTTCGGACTTTTCTTGGGTGTCTGCGACTCTTGCGAATTTTTGGCAGGTGGGAAGAAAGCTCATCCGCGTCTTGTTATCTTGGCCAATCCCCATTAAGTGCAAGGTGGAGGCCATCTTTCACCTCTACTCGAACCTGTTTTACTTCTTCCTTCTCTGCCTGCTGATCATCTTTCCCTTCTACGTTGCATGTCAGCCGGTCTTGAGGCTCATGGACTTGCCGATGTTCGAGATTGATTGTACGCTTTTGGTGATAGCCGCATTCCCATTGCTCGTCTTCTACTCGTTGTCGGAGGCCCATGCTTCAACGGGTTTTACCTGGCCCTTCCGTCTTTGGCGCCTGGTGCCATTATTGGCGTTAATGATGGGCACGACTATTGCCGCGAGCAAAGCCATATTCCAGGGGATGTTTGGTGTTTCCACAACGTTCGTGCGGACGCCCAAGAGTGGTGACGTTGAATCGAAGAAGAGAGTTCTGCAGGGACATCATCATCATGGTGTGAACTCTTCAAGAGCGGTGGAGGTCGTGTACAAGGCCAAGCACAGCTGGGTACCCGTTTGCGAGCTGGTGATGAGCGCCTTCTATTTATGCTCCATCATTCTGTTGCTGTTGACAATATTACTGCCTTCTGCGGTAGGCCGATTTGCGCACAAGGGCTACGACGTAAGCGTCCTTCCTTTTATGATCGTAGCGTGCTTCGGTTTCTTCTGGGTGGGCTGTACTTCATTCATGCTCCCACAGCCGAACTGCTCTTACTGCAAGGTCCAGTCTTGCCGACGAGTCAGCAAGCGCTTCGATCCGACAGTCTATCTGTTTGACCGACCAGACGAAGATTTATCACCTCTGCAGTCGCCAACCACAGATAAACCAGACTTCGGGTATCACAAATTGGATGTCAGCTCAACCTCTACTGCTACGGAAAAAGCGTCGAGAAGTCTTGGCGGAACCAAAGGTAGAGTGATACCCACTTCAGAACCACTTTATAATCCACGCACGGTCGCGGGTGTGCATCCATATCCTGCGAGAAGATCACCCTTGGCACCAACAACAGGAGATCGCGGGACATCCGGAACGCGCACCAGTCATGAGCAGAGCAGAGGGGAGAAGTTTGCGGAACTGGGACTCGCATCACGTGGGGGGGTTACGGGTAACAATGACGGGACAGCTTCCGTTCCATCGGAAGCATGTTTTACGGGACCAGCCGAGCCACGGAGCAAGAGCGCGAACATGGTTCATGGAGCGCCGGACAGGTCTCTTTCGCTCAGGCGAAGGGCGCTGATTGGAGGCGCAACAGATGTTCACGACACGCGTGATAACTCGTTCGGGTTTGCCACAAATGTTGCCCAAGAACGGCAGGGCGGCGTGCCTCCCACTGGCAATGACCCATCCACGACGATTCCTGGATGGCAAAGTCGACAGTTTGCGAAATCGGAGATCGAGCCCGCCAGCGACTCGGATCATTCTGCAAACCATTCTCAGAACACAAACGCATTTCGATATCCAGAGGGATCGACTCAGGGTGCAATACGGAAACACCAGCAGGGGTTTAATGATTTAGGTAGGGAACCGAGAATGCCGACGGTCGGGAGCAAACGCGGACTGTCCGCTCTTCTGCCGCAGCGGACAGAGGATATCGAACTGAGAGTGGACCACATGCAGAGTAGCTCCCCACCATCGGAAGTCATAAGGGATATTCATCCAGGATTCGATTATAGCCCGAGCGAGGACTCGTTTGGTTATGCGACGAAACAGATTCAACAAGGTCGATGGAAACAACAGGGAGGAATGGGAACTGCATACGCACGGAGTTCGAAACCGTTGGAAGGAGTACGGGATGTTGATCCAGGATATATTTATAGCGCGAGCGAGGACTCGTTCGGGTACGCAACAAAACAGGTACAGCAAGAGCGAGGCAAACAACTGGGCAGGATGGAAATTTCTTTCGCACAGAGTCCCAAACCGTTTGAAGCAGTGAAGGATGTTCATGTCCATCATCCAGGATATGATTACAGCGTGAGCGAGAAGTCGTTCGGGTACGCAACAAAACAGGTACAACAACAAGGAGGGATGGGAACCGCGGCATACACACACAGTTCCAAGCCGTTTGAAGCCGTCAGGGATGTCCATGTTCATCATCCAGGATATGATTATAGTGCGAATGAGGAATCGTTCGGGTACGCAACAAAACAGGTACAACAACAAGGAGGGATGGGAACCGCCGCATACGCACACGGTTCCAAGCCGTTTGATGCCGTAAGGGATGTCAATGTTCATCATCCAGGATATGATTATAGTGCGAATGAGGAATCGTTCGGGTACGCAACAAAACAGGTACAGCAAGAGCGATGGAAACAACAGGGTGGGATGGAAAGACCACAGATGACAAGGTCTGGTGAAGACGAACGCTGGCAACCAGGAGGGCCAGATAGTGTGATGCACGCGGACTATACGAGCTACGATGCAAGCGAGAATTCATTTGGGTATGCGGCAAAGAGGGTGCGCGCAGAGCCGAAAATGTCCAGGGAGCTCCTCATGCCACCCTCATTCTCAACAGACAGCATGGAGGCATGGCAGCAAATGACAGGCCGCGGGACGACGGACAGTCGAGAGGTAGAGGCACCAGATAGTATGATGCGTGCAGATTATACAAGCTACGATGCAAGTGAGAATTCATTTGGGTTTGCGGCAAAGCGGGTGCGCGCAGAGCGGAGATTGTCCAGGGAGTTGCTGAAAACAGCAACCTTTCCAACAACAGGCAGAGAGGACGGTCAGCAGCACCAAATGGCGGGTCCAGGGGTGGACAGTCCGGGCAACAGTACGTATTCCCCTTTGCGCACGAGGACATGGAGATTCCAGCCGTCACCAGAAACGAGCGGCAGCTATCTTGAGTTTGGAAGAAGCTTGTCCTCTGACACGACGTCGACAGACGAGCAAGGCCTTTCACGCAGACCGTCGGTAAATGACTACGATGCTTCAATTTCCTCCTTGGAGTCATTCGAGCCTAGCCCGCCGCCTTTCAGTAGTCCTCGGATCGGGATGTGGGCATTTCAGAGAAGTAAGACCGTTCTGCGCACTGCATCGCACTCTCTGTCGAGGATGGTGTCCATATCTGAGGGAGTGGAATCCGGCAACGAAGATGATAACCATAGAAAACTCATCGCCAAGTCTGACAGTCATAGCAAGGCATGGAACTCAGATCTGTCCCTCTGGGGGGGGGGCCAAGGCAGCAGTGCTGGCATCGAGTTGGGCCGGACAACACCCCACTCCGCCGACCAGATCACTATTGGTGAGGAAGTCCCAGCGGATGAACACGCAAGAATGGTATAGAAGACAGGAAACAGAACGATTTTGCACACACCACCTAAACGCAGCTGGCGTGTATGAAGAGGCGGCACGCCACCGGACTGGAGGCAAAGGCGACCACAGATTGCACACCATCTCTGCAGAAGAAAGGAATACAGTCGTGTAACGGAGACTTCCTAGCTTTTACTACTTTCCACAGGCACGTCGAAGACAAAACCATGGCCTATCGGACTCCGAAAGGCCTTTTAGGGTGAAAAAAATACCGTCAAAACGGAGCAGAAGGAATCAGGTCGGTGGTTGCAGAATGGGATGGAGTAGCATCTGTTTAGCAGCGCAGCGAAGGGCTTGTTCATGAGCCAGCACTGCAAGCACACATACTTGTCATTCTGCGAGTTTGCCTCCGCTGGGCCCAGGGTCCTCAGACTTGAACCCTTCTGGCTGGTATCCTCCTATGATTCGCCGCCAACCACTGTCGTCGAGAGGCCCAGCAGGGACTATGCGGACGGCGAACGCTTCACATTTCCTGGCACATCTCTGCCCACATCTCTCACACAGTTTCCTATCACAATGGCACTGTGCAGTTTTTTTTTTTTTCTGGCTCCTGCGCCAGAAAAAAACGGGGTGCCTCGCCGCAGAGTGCCTAGAAAAAGAAGAAAAATAAAACGAACTTGCCTGATGGCGCACGAGCCAGGAACTGTGCAGTTTTTCTTTTTCTGGCTCCTGCGCCATCAGGCAAGTTCGCTTTTCCTGGCTCGTGCGCCATCAGGCAAGTTCGTTTTTTTTTTTTTGTTTTTTTTTTTTTCTCGGCACTCTGCGGCGAGGCACAACAAAACCTTCACGCAGCTCTCACACAGTTTCAGACCAATGGCTCTGTGTGCTGCAGTTTTCTCTCATGGATCGTCGGTGGCTAGTTTCTTTGGCTACCGTCTTCCCCCGAACACAACACACCCTCATTTTGGCAGTATCTGGCCGGAAATATAGCTTGTGTACATTCATTTTTAGGGTGCGTTATGTTCGGGGGAAGACGGTTTCATCGTTGCACTCAGCGGCTAGGCACAAGCAATTGGTAGACTTACATCGGAGCCGAGCTGCTGGCTGGATGATGGTCAATAGGCACAGGTTTGGGGACGGCTACCGTCTTCCCTTGGAGCACGATGGACCTTCATCATGAATGCATACAAGCCATATTTCCGACCTGATACTGTCATGTTGAGCGTGTATTTAGAGGAAGGAAGGTGGTGGTGTGAGCTTGCCTCCGCATGTTTCCAAGGGGCACATTGTCACTGTCAGGGCATCAGCGGCACGTTTCCACTTCAGTCAATCAAGTCAAGTGGAGACACATGTTGGGTGCGAACGACTTGTTAAGTATGACGATGCTGCCCGAGGATGCTCGTGCTCACCCCCCCCCCTCCGTGCACTTTGCTGAATGCATTTTGCCCAGAATTTGACCAGATGCATTCATGAACGCACGTACGGCGGCACGTTTCCACTTCAGTCAATCAAGTCAAGTGGAAACACATGTTGGCTGCGAAAAACTTGTTAAGTATGACGATGCTGCCCGAGGATGCTCGTGCTCACCCCCCCCCCTCCGTGCACTTTGCTGAATGCATTTTGCCCAGAATTTGACCAGATGCATTCATGAACGCACGTACGGCATGAATCTGGCCATAACTATGGCCAGATGCATTTGCAGAAAGGCTAGTTTGAGTACACCCCTCAGAGGTTCTTTTTCCCCTTCCTTGAAAAGGAAAGGGAAAATATGTTTTTCATCCAGCAGCCTCAGCAGGCTTTTTTTTTTTTTCCTAATGCCGAATTGTAGTGTTTTACTCGTCTGCATCCGGGGGAGTTCCAGCTCCAGTCTGTATTTCAGCAGTTCAGTCCAGGGGGGATGTACCAACTGCGCTAGGCCAGTCCTTGCTGGACAGAAAATCTGCAAATCTGAAAATCCGTGAAGTCAATAAATGGCTGAACGTCTGATAGATTTTCCAAAATATCCCTTTTGTACCTAGTGATGTTTTAATTACCTTTTTTTCTGAATAGAGTCAATTGGCTCCATTCATCGCCTACAGGCCTCGCGAATGTGGTCATCTTTTTGTCCTGATACGCGTAGAATGTTCTGCAGTGGAGCGAGGCCCTATGTTTTGTTCCGTCCGCGGGAAAGATTGAAACGTCGAAAATGTAGTCAGTCGTCAGGGCCCAGAGAGTTGTAAATATTATCATGTCGAGCCCCTATTCCGTCCTTTTACAACACACCCACGACGCGTCTTCTGGAATGCATATGGCTGTGATTGCGGCCTGATGCATCAACAAAATCCCAGTGTGAGAACCCCCTTAAGTGGGTTTTTATGCTGTCCTTTTTCTTATACGTGAGGGAGACGCCCACAGAGGACGATGCGAAGGAGGGGTCCAATTTCTGGTGGCTTAAAATGGGTGTAGCCCTCTTACCATATTGTATCAATCTGGTTGCGTCATCAGGAATCGAACACGCGACCTGCGACCTGTTCACTATCCCTTTGCGCCTGGCTCGATTCAGCAGCGCACAGAGGTCCACAGAGGAGGACGACGGAGGGAGGGGTCCAAGTACTATTGGGGGTGTAAAATGGGGGTAACCTTTTAACCTTATTACATCGATCCGGGGCTGGGCTGGGTAGCGGGGGGTTATGTGGGGTTTATGCATTCCAGCCTTTCAACAACAAGAAGTTTTTTGGTCACAATCGGACTTTTTTTGCGTGCATCTGGCCGCAATTGCAGCCCGGTTCATCTGCAAAGTCCAGGTATGAGAATGTTACGTATGTACTATGGCATGTACTTGCAATCGGATTTTCTAGAGTGCATTTGGCCGTGATTGCGACCCCGTGCATCTGTGAAATCCACTTGCCAGGACATGTTTAGTAGGATTTTGCACATTTCGAAATTTCCAGAAGTGACTCTTTACTGTCCACCAGTGGACCACCACTCACGACTCGAAGCAGCCAGCCATAATCGTTGTAGCTGCAGAAGTCTTGGAGCATAATCGTTCTGAACACTCTTTTCTGATTTTTTTTCTTGTTTTCATTCCGCCCCCTTCCCCCCCCCCCCCCCCCCCCCCCCCCTGCCAACTTTTGCCTGCAGCTTTTGCGGTGTGGAGTCTTCTTCCAGCGACAGGCAGATCTATGGCCCCATCAGGCACCCACATTAGTGCCCACCCTATACTGTCCCCGCCCCCCGCTCCTCCTGGCCCCTTTCTGACTCCAGCCATTCCACAATGCCCTCCCTTCAAATCCCTTGTGTATTTTTCTCTTTTTTTTATAAGTATTTTAATTTTAAAATTTGGAGAAATTTCAAGTTTGGCAATTCTTGATGTAAGTGTCTCATATTTGAAAAGGAGCAGGGGCTAGGTCCCACCGTCACAGATTAAGAGAGAGCGGACGTAGATAGATATGATAAGGAAGATCAACGGCCAAAATTTTCTTGGGGAAATTGCATGTGCGCCCCATTTAAAGATGGGAATGGGCGCTAGCTCTACCCAGCCCAGGTGTCCAACTTGCATCATTACCCGGAAATTTGTCTGTGCAAATTATTTGTCTACCGAGGACGGAGGAGGGCCAAGGTTGGTACTGCCAAATTGCAGTTATACCCAACTACCAGAATGCTAATTATGCACATACCCAGACAAATTATGTGCATAGTCCTGCACAGTGCATACCCAATTTTGCCTTCCCGGTTCCTGGGCATAAGCAGAAGTTTGTCCTCACCAACCAAGGCAACGTGTGGGACTGGGTACGCATATAAGTTGGCACACAGGAAAAGTAGGGTATTACCGTAAGTTGGACAGGATCTGGGTAGTTGGGCGCTCGACTGGTGGGTATATCAGGTATTCCCATCTTTATGTGGGGTACAGAATCTACAGATGTAATTTTCTCTCCTTTTTTTTTTTTCTTTTTTTTTTTTGAAGCCCAGGGTGTCGTAGAGGCTACGGACCAGACCCGCGGTGATGGCTGGCAGGGGCGGCAGCCAATGGTTGTCCTGACAGGATAAACAGTGAAAATGGGACCTTGTCCCGAGGACCGTGCTAGTCTTTTTCTTTCTTTCTTTCTTTTTGTGGGATCCATGGT